GATCCTTGAGAAAAGCACCAGGAGCAGCAAAGAAACAGTAATGATCCAGCTCACTGTACCAAAATCATATATCCCTCCAAAATTGTTTTAGGACAGCCTCACTTTCAATCCATACCGTTTTTCAAAGAGTCCACTAAGGCCTAAGTCAACTTACTGCATCCTCAAAATAATAAAGTTTTTGTCAATCGTCAGTGGTGTGGCCCTCCCAAACTCATGCCAATAAAACCTTCATTCCACCCCCTTTCTATCTAAGTTTCTAATGCATAAAAAGCCTGCTCTTGGAGCAGATTCATCTCTGGAATAAGCAAGTGTAGTAGTCAATCAAGGAGAATTACACCAGTTTGCCCCAGGGATAAATGTGTTTCTTTGTCACCACGTTTCAGGCTGCAGCAAATTCACATCCCAAATTATAAACCTCTGAAAATATAATGAATATGCTGACACAGCCTTAATTGTTGCTCTGTAAATGGCACTGCTCTAATAATGAGATCAAAAATCCTTCTTAATCCCAACTTTCCCTAAAGTGGTGTTATGTATTAGCTATGGATGAAAAGACAAACAAGTACATGTATATTCAACAATAATGTCGATTAGGTCAGAGAAGAATAGGAAATGAAATGAATTTGTAACACCTCCGGAGATAGCTTTCTGATACAGACTGTTTTCTTTTTGATTTACCCTCATTGACTGTGTTCATTGTAACTTTAATATATCCACTGAATTGCCTTTTATTAACAGCTGGGATGATATTACCAGGGAATTCATTCTGTAATCTCAAGACAAGGTGTTCTTAAGTTTAACAGTTACATAGTTCCATATAGATCATATATGCATACTTACACGTATCTGTCTCTCAAGAGGACTCAATTTCAAGTTCAGACCATACAGACAGTGTTGGAAAGTACTGTAGATACAGAGCTCTTGTGGCTCAGGGCTTTGAGGATGAAATGTGTTACTTCTCTAGGTATGATGATTATGAAACAGTCACCTTGGATTAAGATTGCTGGCAATCTTTAAAAGCCCTTATTGGGCCTTGAGTGTGCTCAGATGCCACTTGCTTATAAATGGGAGTTAATAGAAGCATTAAATGTGCAAGCCACCATGACCCACTTCTCCAGAATATTAAGCACATTTTAAAATAGTTGAAGAACGTCTAAGTCCTCCACTTTCTGTAAAATATTACCTCCTTCTAACTAATATCCTCTGGGAGGAGGCTTTCTGAACTCTTGAACATTTCACTTTCATTTATGCATACTGTATATTTTTGAATTTATTCCCTCACTTTTTGCTTTGCCATATATTTATTGTTGGTACCATATTCAGTTTCTCCCTAATTATTCCATCTGCCACTAAAGGATGATGCATTTTAGTAGCGGTGTGGTTTGGTTGTTTAACCTTTGAGTTGTGTAACTGAATGTGATGACATATTCCTCATGTAGCAGACCAGGCTAAGAAGAATTATATACTCCAAGTGATAAGCTTGGAACCGCTAAACAAATACCCAAATCCAATTTTTTCCCTCTCTCTAGTCTTCTAAACATCCATTAGTCTCTTGATGGAAACTCATAAATCCTGCAGATTTAGTTTATCTGAAACCAACTCCAACAGTTGTCCTTCCTACTAATCATCATATTTTATATCAAATTTATATTTTTCAATATTCAATGTAAACATACCTACTGCTTACTGTACTGTTAGAAAAAGTCTGTAACATGCTTTATAAGGACAGTTATTAATCAGCCATTTTACAAGACTGTTTCGTAGGTATATTCATTTATCTTTTTATGCTTGCTTCTTTTCATTTGTCTAATACAGAATTTCTTTTATCCTTTTGGTTTACTTCAACAGAATATGTCAAGAAGAAATTTAACATGTAACAAAATGAAAAAAAGTGCAATGGCTAGAAAGAAAGAAATAACCCTTTAGGCTTAAATCGTGAAAAGGTCCCTGCCTTATTTTTCTTAGCTCTGTATTTTGTTTTAAATAATACAGAGTACATTATCGAGCAGTGCTGCTTTAAAGAGGCAGAATGCTTTGCATATTTAAGTGAGATGTAGGTTTTAGAAGAGGAATTTAGGATTGAATTAGAATTAAGAATCACAAAGATGTATCCACACATTAGGGTGATCTTATCATTCTGGGTGCATTGTCCTCAAGAGTATATAATGAACTCGGATGATGCAGTTAAGGGCTATGGATAGATCAAGCTGCAGTGATCTGTTGTTGTGAATGGTGCACCAGGCAGTGCCACTGTAGAAACAAATGAATGCGTCTGCTAGATAAACAACATAAAAAGTTCCCATTCATCACTAAAATCTAGCCCTCTAAAGATTAATATTTCCTGCAGATTTCTTAGTTTTGGAGAAAAAGATTCCTGATCCATACCTTAGACTTACTTCTATGAGCTCACATTTTACAAGGAGGCATCTGACATTTATCAAGAGGTTAATGACTAGTAGTTTCATGTCCAGATACTTTGTAACCACTGAGCTGCCCGACAACAGAGGTCACTAAAAGACAGATGACTTACTAGCCAGTTAAAGTTCTCCTTACACTTTCTCTTTTAAAAGCACCAGCAGGGTTTAGAGAGGGCTGATATTTGACCGGTTGGAATACTGTCCCCTTGTAGACAGCCATGATTTACTGGTAGTCTTCAAACAAAAGGCCATCCAGACAAAACACTCATTGATTGTTACGGTTATTTAAAGGCTAACAGTAAAAATTCATAGACGCCAGTCTTCTTCAACATGAAAAGGAATCCGTAATTGCAATTTGCAAGTCTCCTGCAGAGGCGGAAGGGGATCAAAATAGGACAGGGGAAGCTCATCAATTTCAGTGGGTAGCCTGAGAGGTCTTGATGATGCATGCTGATACGTTGTTCTGCCATCTAGTGATAGAGGGATTTGGTGTAGAAAAGAGACTGTGGTAACAGAAGAAATGTAGCCTAAAGGAGTTTGTGTTCCCAAGAAGGTCCATTGCCACTCACACAATGTAGATATGGGTAGTTGGATAGGCGCATATACTTGGTGGTTCCCCACTCTTATTCTGTGGTCATCTAGACTTCAGGAAAATGGAGAATCTAGACTGATGTAAAAGCAGGTAAAAATGGTTTCTTTTCCAAAACATGTGGAAATATCTTATTCCTGCACTTTAAAAATGTTCAGATTTATCAAAAGAGAGCTGTTGTATAAAATAGGTAGTAATATAGTACTATACATTTTTCATCACTTCCCCTTTCAAAGTGGGGTGAGAGCTGGGGGCAGCATAGAATCATAGAATCATAGAATATCAGGGTTGGAAGGGACCTCAGGAGGTCATCTAGTCCAACCCCCTGCTCAAAGCAGGACCAATTCCCAACTAAATCATCCCAGCCAGGGCTTTGTCAAGCCTGACCTTAAAAACCTCTAAGGAAGGAGATTCCACCACCTCCCTAGGTAACCCATTCCAGTGCTTCACCACCCTGCTAGTGAAAAAGTTTTTCCTAATATCCAACCTAAACCTCCTCCACTGCAACTTGAGACCATTACTCCTTGTTCTGTCATAAGGTATCACTGAGAACAGTCTAGATCCATCCTCTTTGGAACCCCCTTTCAGGTAGTTGAAAGCAGCTATCAAATCCCCCCTCATTCTTCTCTTCTGCAGACTAAACAATCCCAGTTCCCTCAGCCTCTCCTCATAAGTCATGTGCTCCAGCCCCCTAATCATTTTTGTTGCCCTCCGCTGGACTCTTTCCAACTTTTCCACATCCTTCTTGTAGAGTGGGGCCCAAAACTGGACACAGTACTCCAGATGCGGCCTCACCAATGTCGAATAGAGGGGAATGATCACGTCCCTCGATCTGCTGGCAATGCCCCTACTTATACAGCCCAAAATGCCGTTAGCCTTCTTGGCAACAAGGGCACACTGTTGACTCATATCCAGCTTCTCGTCCACTGTAAACTCTAGGTCCTTTTCTGCAGAACTGCTTCCTAGCCATTTGGTCCCTAGTCTGTAACAGTGAATGGGATTCTTCTGTCCTAAGTGCAGGACTCTGCACTTGTCCTTGTTGAACCTCATCAGGTTTCTTTTGGCCCAATCCTCTAATTTGTCTAGGTCCCTCTGTATCCTATCCCTACCCTCCAGCATATCTACCAGTCCTCCCAGTTTAGTGTCATCTGCAAACTTGCTGAGAGTGCAGTCCACGCCATCCTCCAGATCATTAATGAAGATATTGAACAAAACCGGCCCCAGGACCGACCCTTGGGGCACTCCGCTTGAAACCGGCTTCCAACTAGACATGGAGCCGTTGATCACTACCCGTTGAGCCCGATAATCTAGCCAGCTTTCTATCCACCTTATAGTCCATGGTCTCTTCCTTCCCCTTGTCCTGTAGAGGGAACAGGGAGCAGTGGTGTGACAGATTCCCCTGTAGAAGAGAGACCGTGTAGAGGAGATTCCTAGCACGGAAAACTCCTGTCTTTCCCTCCGATACTACTGTACCTCCTGATAGGAATGCTGGAAGGCCCAGAAATTCTTCAAACAGGCACCAGCTTCTCCTAGTATTCCCAGTTCACAGTCCCCTGCCTGGTGGGTCCTCAAATCACCAGCCAAGAAAGATCAGGGGCAGCAGTCTAAATCAAGAAGAGGGGGAACCCCTTTCTCTGTTTCCAGCAAAGGAGAGGAGCTGTGCTTCCTCTTACTTTAACCCCACTCTCCCAATCTAGAAATACCTATTTGTGGTAAGCTACACACTATGGGCCAATCAGCAGGTAGAAGGGGACATGAAAGAGGGGCTAATTGTAAGCATTTGTGATGGAGTCATTTTCAAAGTAGTCCATCCTTGCCTTTATTCACATAAAAAGGTGGTCAGAGTGTACTCACAATTTCCTTTTGTAGATCCTGATTCTGCTGCAGTTGAACTCACTGGGAGTTTTTTCACTGACTTCACTGAGGGTTAGATTTGGCCTATAATTTATAAAATTAGTTCATTAAATGTAATTCTGGATTATTATTTTTTTTAGAATGCTTGAAGATGATCTAAAACTCAGCAGTGATGAAGATGACCACGAACAGGTAAAATTCTGACGTGTGCATATAACATACATATCTGACAATATCTTCATCAGTTGAATGTGGTTGCATATTATTTTATTATATCATTATTATATCTATATTTTATATAGATGCATCCGAAGAAGTGAGGTTTTTACTCACGAAAGCTTATGCCCAAATAAATCTGTTAGTCTTTAAGGTGCCACCAGACTCCTGGTTATTTTATTATATCTGTATCAAATCCATTCCTGGGTAAACTTCTCCCAATCCATCACCACAAGGCTTGCCTACACATTGAATTATTATGGAATAGCTATTCCCAAACAACTGATTATGAATAGTGTCATGTTTTGACACTCTTACTCCAAAATAAGAGTACCTTGTTCCAGTTTAATTCACTTTGAAAGTGGATTAAGCTTAACAGGAACAAGGTACTCCTATTCCAGAATAAGGCCATGTCTACACTACAAGATTATGTCAACCTAATTTCTATCAGAATATCACCACGTCAGTTATTAAATCGCTTGTGTGTACGCAAACTTGGCCTCTTGGGTCAGAGGGGCGCATCCTCACCAGGAGGGCTTATATCAATTGTATTGTCTGTGTGGGGCACTGTGGGACAGCTCCTGAATGCCAGTAATAACCCAGTGTCTACACTGACACTGTGTTGACCTAATTACATTGGCCGTGACTCTACGATGCTCGGGGAGGTGGTGTTACTAAATTGGCATACAGAGGCACTTATGTCAGCAAGAGCCAAATTTAAGTGAAGACACTTCCACAGCTAAGTCAACGTAAGATAGTTTATGGCAACCTAACCCTGTAATGTAGACCAGGTCTAAGAGTGTCTACCCATGGAGTTATTCGGGAATAATTTTCAAGGGGAGACATGTCCTGTTAGCCTTTGTTTTAGTTCACCAGTTAATCATCTTGACTCCACGGCCTTGCACCCAGTTTGTGTCGCTGTTTACACCTGTGCAAAGGGTTGTAAAATGCTCCCAAATCAGAGTTCTCCACTCACTCCTACCAGAAGTAATGGTTTGCACCCACTTTACACTCTCTTTGCACTGATATCAATGACTGTAGTCAGTACAAAGCAGTGGAGAACCGTGGAACTTTTGTTCCAGCCATTGAGCAAAGGGTTTAGAGCCCACAATCATTAATCCTAATATAAATATTAGTGGTACACTCCCGTTTCCCAGAGGTACAGTGGCAGGACCTGGCTGTGAATCAATAGCAGACGTCTTTCAGCCTAGAGGGGACATTAGTGAAAAAGCATTTGCAGAAAACTTGCTGATACCATTGTCCTTTCTTCCATTCTGCATTATAAATATTTAGTTACTGCTGAGAAATAAAATGGAGGGCATGCATCTTTTCAGCATTTTTAATAAGAAAGTCTAGACACCTTGAGCCAAATTCGTCCCTGGTATAATTTCAGTGAAGACAATGGAGTTAAACCAAGGATGAATTTGGCCCCGTATCATTCTTAGGTCATAAAACAGTAAAGCAAATTTTTGATTTTGTTGCCATAATTGTTATGATGTGGAATGTTGTATTGTATGTGAATTCTTACTTTCTTCCTTGATAAGACACTCTCACAGTGTCCAGCTGATCATTAGGAATATGAAAAGGGAATGATGCAAACCTCCTTTGGGATGTCTGTTTACCTACAGCTTCAGAAATGTTGCTTTTAACTGAGCGCTCTCATTCATTCTTCAAACTACCTGAATTTTACCACTACCCCTCCCACTTCCTCCTCCTGGGCGTGCCAAGAAATATATATTTTGTAGTGTCCATTGGCACCTGGATTGTACGAGTCAGCCTTTTCTAACACAGAAGTCCAATGTCAAGCACTCACAAGTTGAAGGATTAAAAGCCTACATGTATGCAATGCAGAGTTGTATAATCTTGTGCAGCTTGTCTGACTAACAAGTTTACTGCTTGATTGAAAATGTAATATTTATAATGAGAGGCCCAATGTAATCTGTTTGGCAATGTCAGTACCAGTTCAAAACTAGAATAACAGCAAGCAGACACATACTCAGGGCCTGATTCCGATCTCACACCAGTTTCATACTGGTGATACTCCGCTGACATCAGTGGAGTTATTCTATGTTCACACCAGCAACCGTGAGAGCAGAATCAGGGGCTGAAGTGAGTAAGGGCCTGATTCAAAGCCCAGTGAAGTGAATGAAAAGACTCCCATCAACTGTGATGGGTTTTGGATATAACCTTAATGTCTTTCAGAAAAACAAGGAAACTGTGGGTCTTACACTAATACCATTGCACTAAAAATCCAGGTGTCACTTTCTAGTAATGCCATTGGCAACACCAGGTTCAAAGAGAAGAAGGAGACACATAAGGAACATTCATATGGTTTCTTAAGGTTCTAGAATACAAATTCAAGAGAGTTTCTGTTTGGCATTGACCCTGTTTTCACACTAGGCAGGAGGTTCAAACCTTCTGAGAAATCCCAAGTATCTTTTAAAAAATAGATGCTTTACTGCTTATTTAGGTATTCCGAGAGTGCACTCTTCAATCAGGTATCAAAAATAAATTATCTATCTGGAAAGGAAAAGCTCTCTCAATTGTCCTTTGTTTCAAGGGGCATTGCTCATTTCCAGCATTCCACCCAAATGTGCAGGCCCTCACTTTTAGTTACATCGGAAATAGAAGATCATGAAATGGAGGGAATAAAAAGCATCGAATATATTAAAGGGAGGAATCCCATGTTAAATCTCCTGGATTAATAACTTGTGCATGTCCTTCATTTTGGATCTTTGTCACAGATTGCATCCCACATTGAGACCTGGGCAAGCGGAGTAGAGCTCTGGTGTAGCAGTCAAATGTTTCACTTATTGGATTCTTTCACACTTTACAAGTTTTGATCGTGTTTCTTTTTAAAAAAAAACAAACCATTGATCAGGTGTACTGGTCAGATACATAAACACTAACAAAACAATTATGGCATGTTCAAATGCAAAATGCTGTTTCCTGGAATATATAAAATGATCATTCATGAGAGCTGGAATGAGACTATCGCAATATACAAATTATAAGATACCAAAAGTTCAGCTGTGGGGCACTGAGTTACAAAACTAATTTTTTAACGTAAGAGTTTACAGTCAAATGATGCTTGAAATTCAGATATACACATGTGCATACCATAACTGAGAGAGAAAAGATGAAAATCGCAGTTTGAAAGCACCTTAGCAGTTTTTCCAATATCTTTGTATTCTGTCTCCTCTCTTATATTTTACCTTTCAGATTTACCCTGTACTCCAAAATCACCATTTTTGTACTTTATGAAGCTTGTAACATAGGCCAAGCGCAGGTTTACGGGTGCAAAAATGTACCATTTACTGATTTTTCTCAAACAAAAGTAAATAATTTTAGACTGATTTGCTGAGCTGTCTAGTGCTTCCAGTCCCATGAGCCAGCACAAATATTTGCAATCAGTGTTATAACTAGAGTAGGGTCCAAACCCAAAATCTGAACTGCATCCTGCTTTTTCCACCTGCCAATCAGGTTCTTCCTTTTGTTTCACACTTCTTGGGAGGAACCAACTAAACACAAGTTCCTAGTGCAATGCTATAACTAAGAGGGTGAACACAATTCTTGGATGTATAAGCAGAGTAATATTACCTCTGCATCAAGTATCAGTGAGACCATTACTGGAATTCTGTGCCCGGTTCTGGCATCCAGACTTTGAAAAGAATATTGAAAATTTGGAAAGGGTTCAGAAAAGAGAGCTAAGAATTATTTGAAATCTAGAAAACATACCTTATAGTGAGAGACTTAAGAAGCTTAATCTATTTAGTTTATCCAAGAGAAGATTAAGAGGTAACTTGCCCATAGTCAACAAATACCAGCAGGGGGAATTGATTTCTGACAGTAGTTAGGTTAGGCTGGAAGATGAAGCTAGAAAAATTCACACTAGAAATAAGGCACTAGAAATAAGGTGCAAATTTTTAACAGTCAGGGTAATTAACTATTGGAACCCCTTCCCTAGGAATGAGGTGGTTTTTCTATCACTTGCTATCTTTAAGTCCAGACAGGATATCTTTCTTAAAAGCTACAGAAGTTGTGGGCTCAATACAGAAATTACTGAGTGAAGTTCTTTGGCCTGTGTTATTCAGGAGGTCAGACTAGATGATCTTAACAGTCCCTTCTGACCTAAAAATCCTATGAATCTATGAACCATATCGATCATTGTGATGAAGCAGGAGCAAGTTGCTCCAAGCCAGGTGCAGAATTCACCACATTGCTTTATGGGCCACCATTTGAAAGGCTACAGTTATCTCCTAAATCTCCTGCTAACATTTTGGGGGAAGCACCATCATCAGTGCAGTCACCTTAGAACAGAGCAGGGGACACGTGCTTTGTGTGTCACTTACGCATAATGCTGATTCTTTTGCTTTCCATTGCGGGTGATTTGGGATTAAAGGAACACAGAAGATGAGGGGTTAGATCTGGAATCAATTTTCATTTACAGCTGAGAAGCAGTTATTGATGCTGTGCTCACAGTTCAATAAAGGATCTAAAGATATAGACCTTGTGTTTCTCTTTCAATATAAGCGACACAATCAGTCTCAAATGTTTTCACAGAGAAAATTGTATTGACAGTTTTATTAAAATTGCCATCTTTAAAGTTTTACATTATCTACAATTTGACCTATTCCAGTGGTTTTTAATATGCACGCTGACCAACCCAATAGATATTTATGGCACAAATGCATAACGCCAGGTAAACATCTGCTTAATGTATTATTGAGTAGAATCATTATATTTAACTTAAGCAGTTGCCTGGATTTTAAACTGTTACAGTACTGTCATTGAACAGAATTTTGGTGCATGCATCACTAAGATACTGTTACTTTGCAGAGAATGTTCCTATTACCCAATAGTTTCAGATTGGCTGTGGGATTATAAATACAAAGAAAATAACAGACGTGTATTAGTAAACCTATAACTTGGCAATGCATTTCAGGGATTAATGTTAACTAATGTTAACAGTGTTC